GGGTGTCAGGACATGCACAAATGCTTATAACTCAGAAACTGTTCAACATAGAAGCTTCAGATTTCTTTTGTAGTTTAGCTCTGATGAAGCTCTATCCATCAGGCCCACCAATTAGTGCCCCCCACCCCAATAAAAAAAAACCACCCAAACACTACAATTTAGGGATGCATCTGGTAGCATGACATTTATTAGGAATAAAGACTTCTGAGTTTTGGTGCATTTGTGCGTGCGGGGGTCATTGTGTTACTGCTGTGTGGTGTCTCGTTTCCTTTCATGTTTCTAATTTAGATTCTAAAAATGTCCTGCTGCTGATGGACGAACACGCACAAACCACAAATCAGTCACTCACACTGATTTGACCCCTTCACCCACACACACCCACACACACACACACAGAGACACACACACCCACCCACCCACACACACACACCCCTCCCCTCTCTGAAACCTTTAAATACAGCCCCTCTTCACCTCTTGGACCTCGGTGTCGCATCCCCGCCGCAACTCGTTTTCACAAGTTCTCAAGCCCCAAACCCAGGTAAAATCTCACACACACACACACACACACACACACACACACACACACACACACACACACACATGAACAGGTGTGTCAGAGCTCCTCAGCTACAGGTTGAATCAGTAAAGTTTTGTTCTGAATCATAATTTCCTGAAGGTTTTCTGACACTTTCCACCTCCAGCTGTGAGTCTCTGCACCTGTCTGAGCTCCAGGTGTGTGGAGTCTTTAGATTTGTTTAAAGTTTCAACAAACTGAAGTCAAAGTTTGTTTTCCTGCAGTAAAACACAGAAAACTGTTCAGGTGTACGTCCTGTAAAACATCTGAATCTGCAGCAGGAAACGTGGAAGTTTGTTGGATCCAGTTTTGTTTCTGTTTTGGAAAWGATTTCGTTTTAAAAGTGCAGCTTCATTAATTAAATCAACAGAAACTTTTCCTTCTGAAAAAAAAAACCTTTTTGTTCCTAATTGTTTCTTTCTGGGCTTCCGTAGCAACACGAAGCCTCAGTTTCAGTTTGACTTTTGGCTGCTGGTTTCAGCTGGAAGCAGAGGACCGGATCTGAAGGATCAGCAGAACATAAACTGAGCTCCTAAAAATACTCCAGCATGAAGCTGGAGCTGCAGCTGTGGCTGCYGCTCAGATACCAGCAGGCTGTAAAATTAGCAGCAGAGCAGCCTGGAGGACAGAAAACATCCAGGAAACCAGATTCAGTTTCTAATGAGAGCAGATTTAACATCAGCTGACGACACATTCATCTGCACAACTAAAACTCACAGAACAGAAAAACTATTGCAACAAACACACCTGATGGTGGGCGGAGTCTGATCAGACCCTGAAAACCACCAATGAGAGCAGACTTTTAGGCTTTTTAAACATTCTTTATTATTTACAATTAAAAATGTGAAAACTGTAGAAAATCTTCAGTGTTTAAAATTGAATGTGAATATTTTTGACACCTCTGGTCCTGCAGCAGGTGGGTTCAAGTTCAGTTTATTCATACAGCTCCAAGTCACAACATACGTTGTCTCAGGACACTGTTCATAAAAAGAACAATGTAAAGAAGAAAGCAGCAGATTGTGTTGAATCACTTCATCACAGTCTCCCATCCTGAGCAAACGGTG